GTTTCACTCCCGCCGTCCTAAATTCGAGGTCCTCCGAGAACACCCTAACTCAAGGCAGGACCTTTGCCCTTTCTTTCCCTCTCATAGGCGTGTACTATGTCGGGAGCGGTTTCCAAAAGCTCTGTTCTTGTGAACCATCGGTCGTCCTCGGGTTCCTGGTATGGGAACCGAACTTTATACTGCTTCTGGGGACGACCTCAACCTCCTGTCCTAAACACGTCCTCTTCCCCTATGTGATCTAATATCATATGCACCATCCATCTGGCGGAATCATCGATCTCCTAGAAGGGAATCATCGATCCATCTGGTGCAGGGTAACAACTTAGATGCATGGAAGATTGGGTACGTGTGGAGGTGTGCTGGAATCTCTATAGTATATGACGGGCCGTCCTCTCCTCCTTTGACTTCTAGGACAGGCCACGGTCCTCTATACGCAAGTAAGAGCTTTTGCGAGATGTTTTCCTCAGGTGCGAACTCCTTTAACTTGACCCAGACTAGATCGACTACCTGAAACTGTGAAGGTCGGCGATGCTTGTTAGCTTGCTCTATCATCCGAGGTTGGGCCTTTCTCAGATTGTCTATGACCTTAGCGACTTCCTGCTCATGCTGTAACGCAAACTCTCGTGTGTCGGGTGGTAGTCTGTGTATCTGGTCCCGGTTTAGTCCCTCAAACGGTCGCCTTGGTCTAAAGGACTTATGTAGCTCGTTCGGAGTCCTGCAGGTAGCTAGATGAACACTGTTATTGTAGGCACTTGCTACTTTGGGAAGCATCTCATCCCAGTTTATCTGATCTGGTCTAATATACATTCTAAGTAGCTGTTGCAAGATCGTATTCATCTGCTTTGTCTGGCCATTAGTCTCTGGGTGTCGTCCTGACGACATCAACAACTTAGAACCATAGACTTTCATAAGATCCTGCCAATTCTAACTAGTAAACCGCGTGTCTCTATCACTGACTATGGACAGCGGCATGCCATGCTCGCTTACCCAGAAATCGAAAAACTTACTAATGACTAAGTCTATACGTGCTTCTGAAGGCAGGGGAACAAAACTGCATACTTGCTAAATCTATCTACTATGACCATGACTTGAGTCTTAACGTGCCTACTTTTGACCCCCGGTATCCATGAAGTCTATAGGAACCGAATCTCCGGGTCCGAATGGAATAGGCAAGGGTCTAAAAAGACCTAGAGGGGCTCTAGTTGTAGTCTTATTACGTTGACGCACCTTGCAGCTGCGCACATACTCTATGCAGTCTGCTTTCATTCCTGGCCACTTGTATGACATCATCAGGTTAGCTTAGGTCTTCTGCCTTCCGAAGTGTCCTTCCGTATCGTGGCATTCCCCCAGAATCAGGCTACGGATTTCTTCATTATTGGGGACACATAGTCTGTTAGCGACGTTGGTCTTCCCGAACATTAGCCCGTTCGTGGTCCGGTAGTGTGGCTCACTATCTGGGGCTTCCCTTACTCTTTTCAGCAGCTCACTGTAGACCGGGTCCTGTGCATAGGCATCTCTCACTTTCTGCTGCAGATCGGCCCCTATGTCTAGGTAATGCACTATTGCACCGAAGTAATCAAATCTCCTACTTAGCGCATCAGCTACCACGTTATACTTGCCTTTGACAACTTTCAACTCAAAGTCATACTGGTCTATCTCAGCAGCCCATCTAGTCAACTTGGGCGTCATCTTGGCCTGTGTTTTTAGCCATCTAAGAGTCTCGTGGTCTGAGTAAACCTTGAAGTGCCTCCCAAGCAGGTAGTGTTTCCAGTGCTCTAGAGCCTGCCTAAGAGCGTAGAGTTCTCTTTCATATATTGATGCCGCGACTTTCTCTGAGGGCAGCCTGGCTGACATAAACTCTACGGGCCTATAACAGTTGTCGTCATCTTGTTGTAAAACGACACTTATGCCATGCTGACTCGCGTCTATAGTAACAACGAATGGTAATGCTGGATCAGCGACTTTGAGGACACGGTACTCTATCAAAGCCTTATTCAATTTTTTGAAGGCTGACGAACAATCGTGGTCCCACTTCCCGATAGTCTCTTTCTTCATAAGTCTACGAAGGGGAGCAGCGATCGTGGAAAAGTTCCTCACGAACGTCCTGTAGTAGTTAGCCAGTCCTAGGAATGAGCGCAACTCTGTCAGCGTCTTAGGAGTCGGCCAATCTCTGGTGAATGCAATCTTCCTATCCTCAGGCCGAATGCCATCGCTGTCTAGTACATGGCCTAGGTATAGGACCTGTGTCTTGGCCCATTCGCACTTCTTCGGGTTAATCTTGAAGTTAGACTCTCTCAACTTGCTTAGAATCTGTCGCAGGTGGCCCTCATGTTCCTCGAGGGTCTTGCTGAACCCTAGGATGTCGTCTAGGTAGACCACGACGAACCTATCTAGCCATGGTCTAAACAAGTTGTTCATGCAACACTGAAATGTAGCTGGTGCATTAGTAAGTCCAAACAGCATCACTATGAACTCGTAATGCCCATACCTTGTCCTGAACGCCGTCTTATACTGATCGTCAGGATGCACCTCTATCTGATGGTACCCCGATTTCAGGTCTATCTTTGAGAAGTACCTGCATCCCTGCACACGATCTAACAAGTCATCTATACGTGGCAATGGCTCCACATTCTTAATTTTGATGGCATTAAGTCCCCTGTAGTCTATACACATGCGAAGCGCTCCCTCCTTCTTTGGGACAAACAGAACAAGTGCGCCAAACGGTGGCGAACTAGGCCTGATCCATCCATTTTCTAGGAGCCCATCTAACTGTCTGCGAAGCTCCTCTAACTCCTCGGGAGACATCCTGTAGACTGCCCCCTTAGGCGTTCTACTGCCAGGTTCTATCTCTATACGGTGCTGGATTGGTTTGGGCACTACTCCTGAAGGTGCTTCAGACAAGTCCTTATACTCTTCCAACAAGCTGGCGATAGAAGGATGGATCTTTTCCTCTTCCTTTGGCTGATCAGAAATCAGCCTAACCTAGGTTACAAACACCTGCTCTTTGAGCTGCTCCTTTCGTACAAGTCTGGCGAATGCCGGAGCGCTGAGGCAGCAATGGGCGAGGGGATTATCTACCCCAGACACATGAAACAGGCGGACTTGCTTGACTTCGCCTGACGCACTAGGGAGCCTGCACTCATGCTCTTTAAGGTGAAGTGTGGCTCCCACTGCCTCTCCCCAATCTGTGCCTAATACAATATCAAACGGGAGACTCTCTACTACGAGGAGGGTCAAGGAGTGCAGTACTTTCTCTACCTTCCCATCTTTCTCGAGGCGGAAGTAGGCGTGGACCCCCTCGACATACTCTTCGGCGCGCATCCTACTGTTGTCTACGAGGATGCGGACTACATGTTCTTCTAAGCGTTAGACTTTTAGATTTAGCTTTAACTTCTTCAGCGCTTTACGACTGATATAACTCCTAGTCGCCCCACTGTCTATCAAGGCTCCTACTCTAGTTCTAAATATCTCTATGTGTGTGAGGATCAGTTGTCCTTTACTATCCTTCTTCATCTTGGCCCAGGCTTGCCTCCTCTCTCTCAACTCCTCAGCTAAGCCTGTAAGGGAAGCATCTAGAGAGACCCTAACACAAGCAGTCTCTGGACAACCTACTAGACGCCGGCCTGCAGCCTCTTCCATGGAGATATGTGGAGTGGGAGACTCTACTTCGCGGGCACGCTCAAATCCACATACTCCTAGGGTAGGGGCAGTTGCGACCCCTACCGGCGGCTGTCTTTTGCTGCCCCAATTGCAGCACGGTCCCTATACTTAGGACAAAATTTTATAATGTGGCCTGGATCCCCGCAGAATACGCATTGAGAGCTATTGATGAGTTCTTGCCATACTTTTTGCTCTATGCTCAAATAATCCCAGGGTCGGCCCTCGGGTCGGCCTGGGTGCCACCATCCTTGTCTGGGAGGTGACCGATTAAAACGTGAACGATTAGACGGGGGACCTCCCCTTCCTCCCGCTTGACAGTTGCCATTGCCGCCAACCCCCGGACCGCCCTGTCCTCGGCCATCCGGGGCCCGACCGTTCTGGCCAGACTTTTGTCCTCCTCCTTGCGGCCTCCCCCCGACCGTGACAGCAGCGTAGGTTCTCCCCTGACCAGCGCTACTGTCCTGCTCCTCTAGTCCCCACTCAATCGCAGAGTAGGGAACCTCGTTTGCACCACCTTCCTCCATTGTTAGTATTAGACTATCTTTGGCCTTGATTTGGTCGGAGATGGTGCGTCCCTTCCACGTTTTTCCCTTTGACAAGTCCTTGTGCCAAAACGTGGTAACTGGCGATGCTTGGGCGGCAAATGCTACTGCCTCACGACTAAGAGTATCATAAGTCATGCCCTGCTGATTCTTCTTCTCAAAGAAGTGTCCCTGAATATTTTCAGGCAGGGCACGGTAGAAGAGGTTAAGAAGTTGGGCATCCGTTACTCCATGCCCAGGGACCGCAATCAATTCATCCATAGCAGACTTAAGCACATGCACACTCCTCCACTGGCGAGTGTGTATCATTTGGAGTTTGTCGAAGGCTTTGAGCCCCCACATCACATCAGAAAATCTCTCTCGAAGCGATTTCAGAAATTCGGAGAGGGGCGTTAGTCTAGAATAGGTGACCATATCATTCTCGCAATTTGCAGCACGGGCGAGCGACCTAGCAAAGCTGGTCGCCTCATCTCGAAGAACCTGGAAGGCCACCAAAATGTGGTCCTCAGGTGTGACTCCTTGTAAGTAGAGATAGGAGTGCACGTTGGCCTCCCAGTTATCGAAATTTTCCCCCTTCTTTCCACTGAAGGGTTCGGGGAAACGGACCTTGACTTTCTCAAGGCGTGGTGGGGCCGGCTCCTCTTCCTTAGGAGTCGCTAACTTGGCGCCTTCAATGGCGCCAGTGCAGAATTCTTTTGTCTTACTAATTGCCAGGTGGACCTCGTCCACCAGGTACTTCATCATATCAAGCGCAAAATATTTAAACCCAGCATGTATTGCATATATCTTTACTTCTAAGTTGTGGATGTACTGCATCTGCTCACGATGTGCAATTAGTAGAGACTCCACACTCTGGGTGAGGGTATCGAGTTTAGTGCCTATCTCAATCTCTCCCCTGATCTTCCCCATCCTGGTCTCCGCCGCTTTCAGGTCCCTTTCTGCTCGCTCTGCCGCCTCCAAACACCTAACTTTCTCTTGGGACATACGCCACTTCCATGCCCTTTGTTGTTCCTCTTGTTTCGCCTTTCTCCTCACCGGGTCCCTTTCTGCTTCCAACTCCCTTCTCGCCGCCTCTCTCTCTGCTTGGGGTATGGCCAATTCTGCCTCCCTATCTTCCTCCAGCTCCAAGTGTGCGGTCCACTCTTGTGTCAACTTCTCAATCTGCTCCTCCTTACTCGTACTAGCTTAAGCTTTTCTTCTTTCCAATGGCTCCTCTTCTTCTACCACTTCTTCTTCTTCTTCTTCTTTCTCCACCTCCGCTTATATAGCCACCATTTTCTCCTCCTGCTCCTGCGTCCACTTCCTCATTTCCTCCTCCAGCTGCCTCTTCTTCGCCTCTTGCTCCTCCAGCAAGGCCAACATCTTGGCTTGCTTCATCAACTCCCTCTTCTCCATCCTTTCCTTCTTCTCTCGCAGAATGGCGGCAGCATTCTCCTCCTGCTCCTTGCTGTAGGGGTAGTGCTAGTTCCTGACCTGAGGGTCACCATGGTGATAGTGCACAATCAGCAACGATTCCGCGCCTCAACACGTAGACCAAACATGTTAACTTTTATCGAGGGGTCTTGACTCACTACTCGGGCTAGACTCACGGTTCTATGACGACAATCACGGAGTCCGACTGTGCTGGACAGATCTGAAAGGGAGATATGACTGACTGACTTTGATAGACTTGACGCCAGCAAGTACCAAGGTGAAGGTGCACATCCATGGGGTAAGGGATAGGCGAGGGCATGGAGAGATAGTACCGGTAATCTTCTCGCTCCAGCTGGGTTGATGCTCCGATCAACGCTCTTGGTCAACTCGCCGATCAATGCTCTTGGTCAACCCTTGGTAAACACCCGATCAACGTTGGTCAACCCGTGGTCAATGTTGGTCAACTTTCGGTCAACGTTGGTTAACTCCCCTGGTCAACCTTCCAACCTTCCGGCTATGGTGGACCTTCTTCTTCTTTGTCAAAACCTTTGTCTTCTTCACCTTGGGTATGGCTGACATTGTCTCCCTCTTCGTCACTTTCTTCTTCCTTCTCTCCACGTCTATCTCTTTCTTCTTACTGATTGTCTTATTTCCTGAGCTTGGCAGCTATGGCTGTCGTCCCTCCTCCTCTCTTCCTTTCTCTCTCTCCCTCTCTCTCTCTCTCTCTCTCTCTCTCTGCCGAGCTCCCGCTACGGCGGCTTTCTCCTTCCTCCAACTCGCTGCTGTAGCTTCAACGTCGACAACGGGAACCAGCTCTGATACCAATGCAATCAGACTCGACTCTGGACTTGCTCACAACATGCACACATGAGAACCGATGGCAAACCAAACTCGTGAACTCAGAATCTTGCTTTTAAACTTTGTTCAGAACAACTGTACAATTTGCGGCTATGGCCGCCGAACACTATCTCTACCACCAGCCTCACTCTTCCTCACCCTCACATGCACGCACGTACGAGGATCTCCCTGAATGTCCACGCTGCACAGACACACACACTCTGTATACCCCGTCTGCACCAACAGCTGAGTGGCTATGGCCGCCGTCGTCTTCCTCCTCCTAGCAATGGCCGCCGGTGTCCCTGTCTCGCTGGTTTGCTATGGCCGTTCTCTTCTTCACAGCCCACTTCTTCTCCGGGCACCTGCAGTCCACGCACAAGATACCAAGGCAGCTCTTCCTCATGGCACACAGGCGAATGAATGAATGGCTGGACGCTGCCTCTTTATTTATACTTCTTTGGAGGTACCCGCGCCTGCCTCAAAACGTGTGGGCCTGGGCCAAAACGTGTGGCCCAGGGAAGTTTCCAGACGTTTGGCCTTCTGGGCCAAAACCTGTGAAACCCACAGTGTGCTCCAGAACCTTCCCCACGTGCAGCACCTACCCTTGGTACTTGCTGGCTGGACTGTCCTACGACCTTCTAGACTATACAGACCTACAGACAGATTGCAGTCCTCAACACACTTCGTAGAGACTTCTAGAACAGACTTCCTAAGCCTATCGGTAACAGACGTAGCTGCTAGTCTACAGACCTAGGGATCAAGTCCTGCTGCCCTAACTACAGACTAATCTGGGATGTGGAACAGGTCTAGGGATCAACTCCTACTCAGCACACAGGGTCTATGTACAGGTATAGGGTAGGTCTAGGGATCGAATCTCACTCAGCACACGGGATCAATGTACAGGGTTATGGCACAGGTCTAGGGATCGAATCTCTGTGACTGCAATGTCAGGTCAACTGGGTGAAACCGTTTCACACATATGAAAGTGTCGAATTTTGGCCTTTGACGAATATTCAGGCCCGCCTTCACTTAGGGCGGGCACTTGGCTTGCTGGGGGCCTTTGCCCAGAACATGTGATGTCTGATAGGGCCCCGAAAAAAAGACAAATTTGCACTGGAGAGAGGGAAAAAAATCCGAATTTCCAAAAAGACAAAAAATCCACATTTCACAGCAAGGAGAGTTGTGATTCAGGTCGGAAAAGTCCGGATTCACCCTAACCGCTCCGGTACCAACTGATTAAAAGGGCCTTTACCCGATTCAGCCCCTGACTGACGGGTGCAGCACAGTGGGGTCACTCGCCCAGAGCCCCAACTCGTGAAAAGCAGATGAACAGGCATTTTCTCTGGGTCAAAAGTCACATCCCAACTAAAGTAAAAGTCAATGCTAAAGGTCACAGTTGTGTCCCTGGACGAACAGTTGTAATATTCAGATATGGGAGTCACATCTGTTCATCCAGGGGGTGTGCAGGTAATGTCTGCTCGAGCAGTAGATGTGTCTGTTCGTGCAGTATGTGTGTCTGTTCGCGCAGTAGATGTGTCTGTTCGTGCAGTATGTGTGTCTGTCCGAGCAGTAGGCGTGTTTGTTCAAAGGAAGTTCAAAGGATAAAGTCCCAGTCAAGATTCGATTCAAAGGGAGAGTCTAAATTCAGGCATCAAGTCCAAAATTCAGGCCAAGATGGCCGCAGCAGCAGCAGACCCCGAAGGGAAAGTACTGGGACACACACCATGCAGAGGTCTGGGACTGAGGAAGGCCCAAAGGTGCCGATGCAGACCTCGCAAAGGGAGGCCAGCAGTATAAAGAAGCAGGCCAGCCTCCCTTGAGGACAGATCCCCAGTGGCATTCTGGCGTGGAAGTGCTGAAGGCACTTGTGCGCTGGCTGGCTGGGTGGGCGCTGGCAGGAGAAGCTGCGCTAAGAGAGGAAGAAGGCTGGGCGCTGGTTTGCAAGTAGCAGCCATAGCTGCCCCAACTACTGTAGTTAACGTAGTTAGAGGGTTAGTAGTTAGTCTTCAGTGAGTAGCATTCAAAGTAGATTCTCGTAGAAGGAGTGTGCATCCATGATGAGGGAAGAGAACTGAGACAGAGATCTTGGGGGAGAGAGAGAGGAAGGGGCAGGTGTACGATGTTGGCTATGGTGGAAACATACCTGTTCTGCGTTTGCTGAGAGGTGGTGCTGGTTGAGCCAGGCCCCACATTGCGGTTGTATGAGAGGGAGAGACAGATCGCACTGTTGGTTCTTGAACTCGAGATACTCTTGTAATGTGTTGGAGATAATATAAGCTGCGCATCTTGGTTCACATCTCATCTCTACTTTGTGCCATGTGTTGGTTCATAATCTGTATGATTGGTAACGTGGCATGCATTGTGATACACTCTGGCAAGTTGTGGACAGTCAGGTCCCTTGCAAACTTGGTATCAGAGCAGTACTTGTTGCACTCACTGCGCTGGCATGAGCAAGACCGGCGAGAGGAGGAAGAACGCTGGCTTGATGATGATGCTGGCGATGGTGGAAAAGTGAGAGGACGTGGATTGGGATAGGGGAGAGGAGTAGGCTGAAGAGGAAGGGGCAGAGAGGGTACTTACCTGGAGTGCTGGAGTGCGGGGTGACGAGGAGCCTCCATCGACGACAGCAGCGAAGAGAGAAGAACCCCTCAAACCCTTACCTGGCTGCATGAGTGTGTGTGTGCTGTACCTCTACTCCTCTACCCCTCTGGAGGTCGCTGCTGCTGCTGTCCATCCAAGGTCTGGTCTGGTCTGAACGTCAGGACACAGTGTCTGGTCACATCAGAGTCAGGAGTGGTCAGAGTCCTGTCTGGTCCTCTCTTCTACCCCTCTGGTTTGATATCTGTAGGAGGTGGTAGTAGGTAGGAGAGCGCTGGTTGGTAGTGGCTGATTGCCACGTCAGGGTGCAAACATGACATAAGGCAAAATCATCTGGGCAGCGATAATCTGTGTGACCGAAGTACAGCCCAGGCATCTGGCGCAGTATAGACTCCAGCTTCTCCCTGCGTAAGGGGACAAACAGCGAAGGTTAATACAAAAAGAAACAGCCAGATCAAGAAGAAAGAAAGCGAAGTCCTAATTAAGGAGGAGACAGGCAGCGTAAAAAAAAAAAGGAGACGAAGTTCTATTGAAGTTTTTCTGTTTAAAATTCGTTATTTTTGAAACAGCGATTCCAGAGTGTAAAAAAAAAAAGCATCCCATCCACGGCAGACAAAGTTCAGTAGTAGCTTGGGGGTAGGCTCCTGGTGGACCGGCGGAGGATCACCTGTGTTGTCATCCACCATGGATGACTATCCCATGCAAGGATTACTGGCCCTTTCTGTTTAGTTGGGGGCCCTCTTCAGAGTCTTCTTTCCCCTGGGTTTCGAGAGAATCTGCACCTCCCGAATGATGATGAGATCTGGTGCTGTGAAGCCAGGGCCCACGCCTGCAGAACAGGCTGAGGTGGAACGCTGCCAGGCTGAAAAGAAGAAAGAAAAAGAAGAAAGAAAAAGACAGAAAGAAGAAGAAATAAAGAAGAAAGTGCAGATAGAAGAAGAGAGAATGAGGAGAGAAATGAGAGAAAAGTTAGAAAGGGAATTGAAGGAGGAATTGCAGACTATAGAAGCAGAAGAAGAGCCCGATGATGAAGGAGACAGACTCATCAGGCGGCAAACGGAAAGGGGAGAGACTAGCCAGACAGGTGGGGAACTCCAGGTTAAACCGGTGGATTGGTATGACCAATATGCCTATTCCGGTGACCTAATTGAAGAGACGGAGGAGGAAAGAGATACATTCGTTGCAAAACTGGCATCCATTAAGGATCAAAGGGAAAAGGAACTCTTGCTAGAGGAAAAGCGTGCAGAATTGCATATGCAAATGTTAGCAGCAAAACGGCAAGAACTGGACGAAAGGAAAAGACTGCAAATCGAGGGCGCAAGGCTACAAAGAGAATTGCAGGATCGAAAGGATAAGCAAGCTGCAACAGAAGAAAAACTAGCCCTCTTAACAGAAACAGTCCTACATACGAAGCAAGAGTTAGAAGCAATGAACAGAACTTTGCAGAAAGTTGAGACCCACCAATATGAGTTTGAGGGAGTTTGGAACACCTTTCTACAGAAGTCCGCAAAGGATGTTGATCAGCACATACAGTTATACATTCAGAAATTAGACAATCACATCACCCAGACCTTTACTCCGGCCGTGATTGAGAAGATAGTTCGTGGCAGCGGCGGAGGAGGAGGAGATGGAGATGGAGACGAAGATGGGGGAGTTTACAAGAAAGGAAAGGGAATGTTGCGGGAAGACAAAGACACTGATGCAAGGAAAATCAGAGTTAAAGTGCCGTGGACCTACACCGGCAAGAGAGAGGAAAGTGTCTTACATTGGATTGCGGCCGTAGAGTCCTATGTGTACGGTCAGCGCATCCCGTATTGGGATAGAGTCTTGATGGCCACTCCGTGCATTGTTGGCGATCCAATGAGCTTTGCCATTTCGTTGCAAAAAGAAGCAAATTGCCAAACCAAGATCGAATATTCACAGCAAACAAGAATTGAAGATTTCTTTAAGGCAGTAAGAGAACGATTTGAAGATAAGAATCTGGCTCGCCGAACTTAAATGCTAATTTTAAATATTGCGGATCGGAAATGGAACAGTGCGTCTGCACTTAAAGCAACAATGGATGAATTCTTGGAATGCGCTGAACATGGACTGACTCCTACTCAAATCCTCAATAACTTCGCAAGAGCATTGCCTGACCCCCTCCGTACTCAGCTTTATCCCCGTACCAAGGACGAGGGGATGACCTACGAGAAGTTCAACAAAATCGCTATAGATCATGCTGACTTCTTGGCTGAAGTAAATTACTGTCATTATTGGAAGGATCTGCAAGCGGGTAAAAAGTGGCAGAACCGCACTATCTCAGGAAACATACCTGGGAAAGACAACCTTCTTCGAACTTTTGAAGAAGGAGGTGTTGAAACTCTCTCCTACGACCAAATAGATTATTGTCTGGAGGGAGGACCCAACAACACGGTAGTTTAGGAGGGGGACTACGCGGCTGTTGTAGCCCGCGGGGTAGGGCGACAAGGAAGAGGACGTGGCCGAGGAAGAGGAGGCCGCAGACGTGGTGGAAGAGGACCTGGCACCCAGAGGGGTGGTGGCGAAGGTAGCTACTACGTGGGTGGAAGGGGCAATGGTCCCTCACAAGGTGGCCATGGTTCATATTCTACCTGGGGAAGAGGAAGAGGCGCGTGGTATGGTACATGGGACAAGCCATATCCACCCCATCCAAGTTTGCCCGAAGGGGAGCCTTGGAAGAAATTGGGAATTACAGAGAAAGTTTGGCAAGATAGAAAGGTTGTTGATCAATGCCTCAAGTGTGGTGACCCCAACCACATTGTTCCCTTCTGTCCCGACTACAAACAACCAAAAGGGAACAGCCAGTAGGGGTTTCAGTTGCCTCTACCGAAACTTCAGATGTAGAAAAAAAAACATCCTCCCATCTGAAGGTTCCACTGGCAGAAACTGAAGAGGTAGACAGTCCCCACCTAGTACACTGTCCAGAGGTTGTAAGTGTGTGCACCTCTCTAGGTGGATCGCTGGCTGGCATGGGTGATGAGTTGGCCGCTCGTCGCCAAGCCTAGACTGAAATAAAGAAACGAAAAGGACAATTAATAATTGCAAATCTAGAAGTGAATAAAGTAAGAGTTGGGGGTATGATTGATAGTGGATCAACTCGCAACTATATTAGTAAGAAAGGGTTGCAAAAGTTGCGTCTCGGGCTTAAGGTAAAGCAATTGGCTAAGCCCGTGGTGAGTAAATTAGCTAATAAGTACAGTAACTGTAATGGATAGATATGTTGAAGGGGTTAAGATATACTTTCGGCTCGAAGCAGAGGGGAAGGTGAAACGTGTTCTCCACTCTCCGACTCTCTTGGTGGAAGATAATCTTCCTTTTGACATTCTTTTAGGTATGGATTGGGGTGAAGCTGCAGATGCGGATATCAAGTTAAGGGATCACGAGTGTTGGCTCCTAGTCCGCAGGGTGGAAAGAAAAGAATCCGCCTATTCCATGAATCTGGTAAGGAAAACAACTTAGCTCATTGTTGTATGAGTGCCCCTGCGTTCGTCCGCCATGTGAAAAGGTATAATTAGTATGATCAAGTTTTTATTGCATTTGTGTGCCCACTAAAGGAGGATGAAGCTAAAGAAGAGGCCAAGTCCCCAAAAGTTGAGAAAATTCTGGAAGAATCGCAGATGTGGCAGAAGCCAAGCGGTGTAGTTGAGAGACCGATCAAACATCGCATTGATATCATTCCAGGAAGTCAAATTCCTAAGGGGCCTACATATAGAATGTCACCTAAAGAGTTGGACGAACTACGAACCCAGCTTGATGAAATGCTGGAAAAAGGATGGATAAGGCCTAGCTCATCGCCCTACGGTGCGCTTGTGATATTTGTGTCGAAGAACGATGGCGGGGTACGCATGTGTATAAATAATAGAAGATTAAATGGTATAACAGTCAACAATGTTGAGCCACTACCGCGAATAGACGATTCGTTAGATAGGGTGCAGGGTTGTAAGTATTTCACAAAGATTGATTTGAAATATGGCTATCATCAGATTGAGGTAGAGCCAGAAGACCAATACAAGACTGCCTTTCGAACAAGGTATGGGCACTATGAGTTCATTGTGTTGCCCTTTGGTCTTACGAATGCCCCTGCAACTTTCCAAAGAACTATGAATTAACATTTTCGTGAATGGCTTGATAAATTTGTTGTAATATATCTTGATGATATTTTGATTTTCAGTAAAGATTTGAAAGAACATTGTGAGCACCTTCGACTTTAGCTAAATAAATTACGTGAGGCAAAGTTAAAACTAAACCCAAAGAAGCGTGAATGGGCTAAGCGTCAGGTTTTATATCTAGGGCATGTACTTGATGGTGATGGAATCAAACCGGAGGACACAAAGATTGCAACAATTCGCGATTGGCCTAACCCCCGCACTTTGACCAAATTGCGGTCGTTCCTTGGGCTAGCCAATTATTATCGAAAGTTCGTAAGACATTTCACGATAATTGCTGCACCCCTTCGGAGATTGCTTAAGAAAGAAACAATCTGGAAGTGGGATTTAGACTGTACAACCTCGTTTAAACGCTTGAAAAAATGTCTGATTAACTATCCGGTTCTAAAAGTCGCTGATCCTTCTTTGCCCTTTGTCGTCACAACCGACGCCAGTCAGTATGGGATAGGCGCTGTACTCCAACAGGACGATGGGAATGGATATAGGCCTGTTGAGTTTATGTCCCGACGACTGCCTAATGAGAAGGTCGCCGCTTGTACATATGAGAGAGAGTTGTTTGCTCTTCGGGAAGCCCTGGATCATTGGCGACACTATCTCTTAGGGCGCCATTTCAAAGTGTACTCGGATCATGAGACACTTCGCTGGCTCAAGACGCAGGCCCGGAAGACACCTAAGTTGACTAGGTGGGCCGCTGAGATTGATCAATATGATTTTGAGCTGAAGACAGTTAAGGGTAAGTATAACGTTGTCGCTGATGTGCTAAGTCGAAGATCTGACTTCTTCGGTGCCATTGTAACATATTTAGACGTGGGCACCGATCTACAAGAGAAAATTAGAAATGCGTATTCCACAGATGTTGTTTATGGCGCAATGATTAAACGAGTACAAGAAGCGCCACAAGAGTTTCCTAACTATCGTATTACACAGGGACTGTTGTTTGAAAGGACTGATGTGCATGACCGGCTTTGTATTCCGAATGTGGAAGAGATCAAGAGTTTGATCTTAGGGGAATGTCACGACACCGAGGGCCATTTTGGGTGGAAGAAGACTTACGGAACCCTTTTGCGTTCCTACACCTGGCCTCGTATGAAACCCGACTGTATTGCATATGTGCAGGGCTGTCAAGTGTGCCAAAGAAATAAGAGCACCACGCAACCTCCCCTTGGTCTACTTAAGCCTCTACCTATTCCAACAGGTCCGGGGGAGACTCTGTGTCCATCGACTTTATGGACAACAATATAAAAAG